TCCCCCCCCCTATATATATATATAAACACCATATCCATACACATTTATATATCCATTTATATATGTAAGTACGTAGATCTATATGGTATGTATGTACTTACTATTTTATATAACTTGCATTGCAAATATACATATATACATATATATATATAAATATATTTATATGCGTTTTATTTATTTTTAAATATATTTAATATTTAATATTTGTATTCTATGCGTGTATGATCATTTATTTTGTGGATGTAAATGAAAGATAAACAATGTCAATAGAAATGGGGAGAATGGAAGAGGGGAGGGGGAATGAATTTCTTTTTTTTTTTTTTTTTTCTTTTTAAGAAGAGGAGAGGATAGAAGAAGAAAAAAAAAAAAGAAATTCTTTTTGCTATATACATACATATACACATATATATATATCAATGAGTATGTACGGATGGGAAAGAAAGAGAGAGGGAGCGGGAGAGTTTATTTTAGAGGTTTGCACTTTTGCGTCCATGTAATCAAAAAAGGGGGAGAGGAGGAAGAAGAAGAAGAAGGAGGAGGAGGAGGGAAAAAAATTAAAAAAAAAAAAAAGTGAAGAATCGAAACAACAACAAAAGTGTGAATTATGCGCTTTGTTTGATGAATATGCCTTTTCGTTTGTTTTTGTTTTTTGTTGTTGTTGTTGTTTTGTCCCTCTTGTGAAATTTCTTAGTTTATTATTATTATTATTGTAGCCGCGTTGCTCACAGTGAAGGGGGGGTGGGGGGGGGGAGGAGAAAAAAGAAAAAAAAGGACGGTGGTGGTGGTGGGAAGGGGAAGTCGCTGTCGTTTCCGCCACTCTCCCTCGTCCCTCTCTTTGTGCGCCTCGGGGCAGGGAAGAAGAAGTGTAGCGCGGGGTTGTTTTTCAATGGAGACGAAGAAACGGGGAAACTCGATTGTGTAGGCATGTGGTTTGATTGGTGAGTCTGAACTTCTTCTACTTCTCCTTCTCCCTCCCTCCTTTTTGTGTTTTTTGTTTTTTGTTTTTTCTTCTGTTGATCATTAAATAGTTCTGCACCGTCTGCTGGCATTTTTTATGTCACTGAAGGAGATCCACTCATTTTTTTTTTGTGTGTGTGCGTTTATTCTTGCAGCCGCGCTCGTGTGGGAAGAGAAGGGGACGGGTCATTCAGAAAGAAAGAAAGAGAGGGGCCGTAGCAATCGGTTGTCGTTTTTTTGTTTTGTTTTGTTTTTCTGTTGTTGTTGTTGTTTTTTTTTTTTTTTTTTGCTGCCGTTTTCGAGTTTTTTGTTTCTTTTGCTTTTTTATTTCTTTTAGGCGGAGTAGGAACTAGGAGGAGGCGGGAGGCTTTGCACGCACGAATCACGGCTTTTTTTTTTTTTTTTTTTTTTGAGGGGGGCGGAAGGCAAACAAAAAGGCATAAATTTGGATGAGAAAACAAAAAAAAGGGGAGGGGAATTTAACAAAAAAAAAATATAATAATAATAATAATAGAATACGTGACGGCAACGAGGGGGAGTTAGTAAAGATTTACATTGCCAACCGTCGTGTCTAATGACATCGCATGCGGACAAGTCATCGGTGCGTCTGTTTCGCAGTGACACGCGTGAGAGTCACCTCCGTGGCGACGAATATCGCGCCTCCGTGAGCGAGAGCGGCCGCAACAGAAGTCGTCTGTCGCCTCGCAACACGTCAATGACGCGCCACGCGCCACCCGAGTGCCCAAGCGAGGTGACATGGGCCTCGAAGCGTTCCTCCCGTGTCACGTGGAAACAGGCTATGAACCGCCGCCCACCGCAGGATTGGTCCAATTCACGGCCCGACACGTTTCATCGCGATGATCGCGTCCCGTTTAAGTTGTCGGAAGTTGATGAAAGCAGAAAATTGGATGTGTGTAGACTAGACGAGTGCCTTAGTGAACCCCAATCGGCGCGTGGCGGCGTGAGGGACTCCGCGGCCCCTCTGACACGGTGGCATCTCGATAAACACGTACAGCGTAGCGGAATGGCGTCGTTTCACACAGAAGAATTTCTGCATGACCACGACACAGTGGAGGACTGGGAGTTGATGTTGGTGTCAGAGGGAAAGCGGAGTCTGCTGGAGCAATTCAATGCATCGAAGTTGCAGCACAGCCCAGAGGGAGGAGAGGAGGAATCAAGCAGCGTCTGCCCAACAAAGACCAAAACCGCGCGTGACACTTTGCAAAGTGCCCGGAATACGCCTCATGCCGTTGCACCCCTTAGGCGGCACGCTGCTCAACGGGATCACGCTGCAGAAGAAGAGGAAGAAGAAGAAATCATTGCACGCTTTTATGCAGACCAGCATGCACGCCGTCGAGAGCCACAGCCACACATGGGCACTGATTCCACTCCATCGCCATCCGTACCGGATGTAAGATACACCCAGCCAAATCGTCAATATGACGATAATCCACACGTAGGAAATCAGCTAACCATGGCATCATCGTCCACGATTCCTCAAAACATACATGACTCCCATGTGAAAAAAGAGCACGCGCGCCCTACGGAGGATGAACCAGAAAGAATAAATTGGGAACACGAAGGTGAGTCTACTGAAAAAAAAAAAGAACCCAAACTTTCGACATTAGAGGAATTCCGCCAGTATGTTATACAACAAAAGTTACAAAGTCGCAGTAAAACTCATACAAGAAATGCAGGAGAAAATGCCACCTTAACACACAGCCCAGCCCTCACAAAAAACACGGAAAAGAGAAAACAAAACGAAAATCTCAACGACATATCACAAAGTATGGATAACACACATATGCCGTTATTAAAGTCTAACACCCTACACAACAACAACTTGATCAGTAGCACTAAACTCACACTAGATATAAACACAACAGAGACCAAAAACCCACAAGACAAATCATTTGCAAACGCAAGGCAGCAGGACCGTGATGTCGTATCGCACGCGGAGGAAGCCGAGCGCAGTGCCGTCCTGGCAGCAGCGCACAGAGGTGCGACGGTCATTGCTGGCGCAGAGGTTCTGAGTCGGAGAGAGCAACAGGACCGTGATGTCGTATCGCACGCGGAGGAAGCCGAGCGCAGTGCCGTCCTGGCAGCAGCGCACAGAGGTGCGACGGTCATTGCTGGCGCAGAGGTTCTGAGTCGGAGAGAGCAGCAGGACCGTGATGTCGTATCGCACGCGGAGGAAGCCGAGCGCAGTGCCGTCCTGGCAGCAGCGCACAGAGGTGCGACGGTCATTGCTGGCGCAGAGGTTCTGAGTCGGAGAGAGCAGCAGGACCGTGATGTCGTGTCGCACGCGGAGGAAGCCGAGCGCAGTGCCGTCCTGGCAGCAGCGCACAGAGGTGCGACGGTCATTGCTGGCGCAGAGGTTCTGAGTCGGAGAGAGCAGCAGGACCGTGATGTCGTGTCGCACGCGGAGGAAGCCGAGCGCAGTGCCGTCCTGGCAGCAGCGCACAGAGGTGCGACGGCCATTGCTGGCGCAGAGGTTCTGAGTCGGAGAGAGCAGCAGGACCGTGATGTCGTGTCGCACGCGGAGGAAGCCGAGCGCAGTGCCGTCCTGGCAGCAGCGCACAGAGGTGCGACGGTCATTGCTGGCGCAGAGGTTCTGAGTCGGAGAGAGCAGCAGGACCGTGATGTCGTATCGCACGCGGAGGAAGCCGAGCGCAGTGCCGTCCTGGCAGCAGCGCACAGAGGTGCGACGGTCACTGCTGGCGCAGAGGTTCTGAGTCGGAGAGAGCAGCAGGACCGTGATGTCGTGTCGCACGCGGAGGAAGCCGAGCGCAGTGCCGTCCTGGCAGCAGCGCACAGAGGTGCGACGGTCATTGCTGGCGCAGAGGTTCTGAGTCGGAGAGAGCAGCAGGACCGTGATGTCGTATCGCACGCGGAGGAAGCCGAGCGCAGTGCCGTCCTGGCAGCAGCGCAGAGTGTTCGTTTTGTGTGGGGCGCTTGTGGTTTTTATGGCGGTGAGAATGTGCTTGGATTACGCGAGAAGAGAGATTCGATTGCTTCGTGGCCTTTACGGGTGGGTGCGTTGGATCCAAAGAGCGTTAATTCTGTTGAGGAGCTCGCTGCAGTCTCTCATAGCGGGATGTCTTTGGATACCGGTTTAGGTGTATCTGATGAAGGCAATGCATGTGCAACTGCCGTGTCACGTGTAAATGATGCGAAGTTAGATGGAATTCTTCTGACTGGAGGCTGTGAATTGACGCAGTTGAACGTGAGGGGTGGTGTTTTGTTGGCAGAGGAGACAGTATCGTCGTTACGGGTTGAGGCTAAAGAAACAGAAGTTCAATCTGATATGCTGGGTAAAGTAGCAGTGCATCCCGCGCTACGTACTGGAGAAGTTCGCGCGACGACGATTCCTCATGGTGAGCCTCTAGGGGATGACTCTGACGATGATATACCGATTCACCCCAGGTATACCTTTTTTGGATGCCTGCTTTCGCCGTTTGTCTGCTGTATGAGCCGTCGGCAGACGCAAATATCCCGTATTGAAGACCCTTTGTCCAATGAGTAAAGAAAAAAATGAAAGTATCTCTTTCCCTTTCTTTCTCTTTGTGTGTGTGCGTGTGTGTGTTGTATTGTAGCTTTTTGTTGTTGTTGTTTATACGTATAATGCGCATATTATATTATTTATTGTGTGTAATATCTCTGGTTAAAGAGTATTGTTCTTTGAGTTATCTTGTCTGATGAAGGAGAGGGGGGGGGGAAAGAAAGTAAGGTGTGAGTTCAATGCGTCTTTTATATATACGTATCATTGGCATCCCTTTACCTGTTTGCACGTTCACTTTTGTTTGTTTTATTATTTCACATTTCTTGTTTGTTTGTTTGTTTTTTGCTCTTGCTCATGATTTAACCGTTGATGGCCGACTTGTCTACCGCTACTACTGTTGTTAATACTATCAATGTTGCCTTTATTGTTTTTGATGATTATGTTGTTACTGGAGGTTTGTATAAGCGATTCAAGCTTAAGGCATCAACAATGCAACTGAATCTTCCACCACCGCCCTTAATAAACATCACGTTTAGCGGGCAGCCAGCCATATCAACGGGCGTAGTGAACTTAAGAGTGCTGCTGGGAAGTATGGATTACGTGCTTGTGAAACATATCCAGGGAGAAGAGAATCATGCGGATATTTCGGATAACACCGATGCGGATGGAGTCATTTCCTCTGGGAGGCGGCAGCGGCAGCTGCAGGTGTGCGAACACGCTGGACAACCGTTAGGGTGCTTTCTCGTGGAGGCTGGTGGAAGCTACGAGGTGGTGCGACATGACGACTTACAATGGGGCTTATCGAGTGGTAGCTTGCAAAACGGCGGGCCGGCGGTGGGGAAAAGGAAAAAATCACCAGAGGAGCAGAGGGGTGGCAAAGAGGAATTGGCGGATCCACACAGGAAACGCAAGCGGGAAAGGAAACAGCAGGGGCTAGAAGAAAAGGCGGGGGAAGTTGGAAAAGAAAAGAAAAGAAGCAGGATTTCGCGGCACCGCGAGGAAAAGAAATCGGCGATGATGGCCGTTGTTTCAGCAGCAGTGGAAAAGAGTAACGTTAATGAAAAGGATGACAATGATGGTAACGATGCTCCGCTTAGGGAAGAAAAGGAGGCAAATGGACAAGAAATGTATGCGGTACAGGAGGGCAATGAAGTAGAAAACACTGCAGGCGAGGACGCCACGACACCGCTGCAACGCGTGCACCTGGAGACGCCTCCCTCTCATTCCACGCCGGTGCCGTTGGAAGAAAAGTTGAAGGCGCGGGAGGGACTGGTTGGGAAAAAGGCGGTGTCGCCTCTACTCGTGGAATCAAGATCGCCCGTCCTGAAGGAAAAACGGCATCGGCATTTACGAGAAAGTCTGAGCAGCAGCTCCGCCTGCGGGCCTGACGAAATGAAGTCACAGAATCAACCGCTGGAACAGCAAGATGGGGAAAAAAAAGAAGAAAATCAACGGAAACGGAATCATTCCAAGAGTGCGACGCATCGTGGGAGCGGCGTCACTGGAACGGTACTAGAGGGTGTGAATGGCGCTGCAACATCCCCTCGCAGCCGTGCATCAACGGCTGACAAAAGGAAAGAGACGCACCCGCCGCGTGTGGGGACCACAACAACCACGACTGATCCCTTTGGAAACGCCGATGAGAACGTTGGGAGAAATCCTCCGCGAAAAAGACTAGAAAGGGGGACGAGCGCCACGGTTGAGGCAGAAAAAGATGTGGGGAATGTGCACACGGATGCTCATGGGTCCTCTCACGTGTCGCCTAACGGCTGGGCGCCAAATGAAAGCCCTGCTTTAGGATTTACTTCCGTCAACAACACCCTGTCGCAGGATTTTAGTCTGGACTCGTCATCCATCACCTCCTCCGCGGACTACGTGTACTAGCGAGATAATTTCCAGTGGAAGTGAGGAGAAGGATGATGGGGAATCATCGCGGAGTTTGTTTCTTTTTTTTGGGGGGGGGAGAGGCTAAATTATTGATTTGCCCCTTACAAATCGCTTACTAGCCAAAGTAATAAAGAGGAGGTTAAAAGTGTAATTTCTGCTGCTGTTTTGACATCACATATACCCTTTGCATACATACGTACATACATACATGTATGCACAGATATACTTTTGTGGCGATTTATGGTGAAGTGTGGATTATAGCTTTGGCTGTAGATATTGTAATTTATTTTTCTGTTGCCATGAAAAGATTGACATGGATGACTCTTCCAGTATGGCTTGCCATTCCCACATTCTTTTTTGTTGTTGTTGTTAGGAGCTTGTGAAAAGAATGATCGTGGGAGAGCTGGCTAACTTAATTAATGTATGTACATCCTGATAGAACGAATGCACTCTTTATGATTCTTTCTACCGTATGAATCTTTTGGGAAGAACGCGACTTTGTAAGGGCAGGAACCGATAGCGGCCAGATAATTTTTAATTTTATTTTGCCTTCCCACCCACCCCCTTTTGATTCCCACCCTGCGGCGGGGTCTTGTGGTTGGAGGAGCCCAAAGTCTGCCACTTCGTAAGTAATAATATTCAGATTCTAACTGAGGACAAAGGACCATGCTAATGGTCCACAGAATTTTATATATTGAATGAAAAGAAAACATTGAAGCAATTAACTAACGAACCTTTTTTCCTAAATTGTTTGGTTTCCATAGATAATTTCAGGATCCGGCCAGCTGCCCGGAAGATTATTATTAGTATTATTATTGTTTTTGAATTCTTTCCACTTCTTTCACTTTCCCATTTTTTTGTGCGTTTGCTATAATTTTATGTTATCTCTCTTTGGTGAAACAACAGTAGCAGTGGAGGAAGTACGCCTTGTAGCGTGAGGAGAGAAAAGAAAGTAAGAAGGAAAGAAGCGTGATATTCTTTTTTTTTTTTGTGTGTGTGTGTGTGGAGAGAAGGGTGGGAAGAAGAAGAAGAAGTGACGGTGGGAAGATGAACAAAGCTTTAGATCCAGCAAAGGCGCCGCAGTTTCTTGATATGATGTTGCGCCGCAACCAGATTGTGCTTATCTCCGCTACATATTGTGAATATTGTACAAAGCTGAAGATGTTACTAATTGAAATGAAACACCGCTTTGTGTCGCTTGAAATCAACATCATTCCCAACGGACGAGAGGTGTTTGCGGAAGTTGTTGGACGGACAGGTGTACATACCGTGCCGCAGATGTTTCATAACGGCAAATACCTTGGTGGTTATGACGAAATTGTTGCATTGTACCGCCGCGGGGAGCTCTCAGCAACGTTGGAGAGGCGGTGAGGGCATGAGGGAAAGGAAGAGGGTGAATTCGAGTGTTGGTGGATTAAAATAATTGTTCTTCTCGTTTGTTGCCTTGTGTACGTGTAGGGCTGTTGAAGGATATGTGTGTATTTGTGCGTATGTGTGGATGTGTCTGTTGCGGGAGTAACGAGACGAGGGTGCGGTGAGGGGATATTGATGGCGTGGCCTCATTCATTTGGGATGGACGACTGGATGGCTGACGGACGGATTGTGTAGACGCGGTGAATTTCTATCAATGTTGATGGGCTCCTTTTTCTTCCTTTAGTTGATGTGTGTTTCTCCCACTCTGCGCCCAGCCCCTCCGCGCTGTGCGGGCGATGATGTCAACAGGCAACGACAGTTTGTGTGGGAGGGGAAAACGTTGAATGCGCGAGGACACAGGAACGGGCGAACACATTTGGCCGCCATGGGCGCTCGTTCTTCCAGCAGCCCACCTGCGAGTCCTTTGATACTGGCAGGTTTTTTAGAGACGGACCCCTCTTGCTTCCCACAGGGATTGGTGTGACAGCAGTTGTTTGTTGTGCCCACTAAAAAATGCCTGCGGAGCTGAAGAAAAAAAACGGACTCTGGTGGAGGGCAACACAACGGCGGGGGACGTGCTTACGATGGCTCCATTGCCGGAGGCGCCCCGGAAAGAGTAAACGGTGAAGTAATGGCGATAAGTTGACACCTGCCACCTTCCCTTTTAAAGGGGCGGAGGAGAAGGACCGCTGAGACGTGATGGACATGGCTTGTAGCAATGAGGAACACATCTTTGTGTCTATCTGCTACTCCTCATGGCATACACATATACACAACAACAAAAAAAAAAAAAGAGCGAGAGAGAGATGCCGGTTATTTTTTTTTCTGTTCTTTTTTTATTTCTTTACTGGCGATTGTGTTTGTTTGCTCAATACGCATGCTGAAAGTGGAAGGGAGGGAATGGCGGGCGTGTACACGATGAAACGGCTGCAGGATGAATATATATAACGGGTGCGGGTCAATCCTTGCGTCATCATGTGTGTTTGGAACGTATATTTTGTGCTATTTGTGTGTGTGTGTGTGTGTTTCATTGCTGTTCAGAAAACTATTTTCTTTTCTGCTTCTTTTCCTCTTTTTTTTCTTTTTTTTATGTTTGGGGACGGGGTGGGAAATTCTTGTCTTTTAATAGAAGGAAAGGAGGAGAAAGAGACGGGGAAGAAAACAAAAAAAAAAAAAAAAAGTTATAAGATCGGCGCATTGGGGAAACACGGCGGGAAACTCATATCCCTCCCTCTCCCACCCCCGTGTGTGTCCTTTTGCTGTACCATCGTAGCCGGGGGGAGGAAAGAAGAGAGGGGAAAAGGGAGAAAAGCAAAAAAAAGGAAAAAGGAGAAGGAGAGAGAGAGAGAGAGAGAGGCCGGCGACGGGTGAAACTTGTGCCGTCTCTGCAAAAGCTGGCATCCATGTCGCATATAATGGGAAAGGGTGTGACGCGTTCTTCACATCGGAGGAAAAGTGTACCGGAGCAGTGGAGTGCGTTTACCCCACGTGAGATGTTCGCCGCTCGTGTGGCTAAGAGGCATGAGGATTGCGGTGGCACTGCCGCCTCTTCGTTCTCACAAACGAATGGGTGCCTTCCACCAGCAACTCAAGTTTCTGAGTCTCTGCGCAAGAGATTGCGAGAGCATACGATTGAGCGAGATCCGTCACCTTGTCATATCGCCCCTTCTTCTTCTGCTGCTGCTACCTACAGCTGCGATGCGCAGAAAAGACACGACGGTCTTATCGGTACTTCAGTACGCGGGTCGCCACACGTTGGGAACGCCATAGCGCAGCAGCAGCAGCAGCAACAACAACTACAATGGAATCAGCAGCTTAGAAGAAATAGAGAGGATGCGTCACCCAGCCGGCCGCAGAATATCGGTGGATGTAGTGGTGAACCATTAGAGAATTCATTGGCTCTTTTGCGGCTGTACTCTCGATACTGCGAGGAAATGGAGTCAAAGGGACTGGACGACGATGACCAACGCATTCAAAGTCATGGAAGTAACACCGAAACCACCACGAGTAATTGCATTAACATTGTGAGGAATGGACATCCTTACCTACAGGATACTGTGGAAAGACGCATAAAGACAGAAATGTGTTCACAAAATAATACCATGCCTGCAGCGTGCACGCAATCAGTTCATGGTTCAAGTAAGGAAACAGCCTCTGCCACAGTACCACTATGTGCCAAGAAGACACAAAGTTTATTGTTAGCGAAGAGGCCTAGGAAGGAACGAATAAACGGAGAAAAACGGTTAAAGAAAGAGGCAAGGCCGTCGGCTGAAAAAGAGGAAACGGGCACGAATCGTATTCTTTCCTTGTCAGCACCTGGTAGTAACTTTCTGCAGGAAACCCATGGGACTTCAAGGCTGACAGAGTTAAGGGCATGTCTCAATGGGAATGACAGTGCGCCTCCTCCTCAAACCAGTGTGGGACACTTACTAACCAGGAGGAGTACATTGGTACCTGTCCACACACAAGGTAGCTCTCTGCCGTCGCGACTGGAGGAGATACGCCGGCACATTGAAAAGTATAGTGCAGCCAAGGACGAAGTGGCAGCGAGACCAATGCCTCTTCAACAAATGGACATTGCAAAAGGCCACATGTCGGGATGGACTGGTGAGAATTTGGTGCCT